TGGCCTGGAAAATGGGATTAGCAGCGAGGGACGAGCCAGAGGGAAGTCAGGAACAGGATTGCAAATTTTGGGAGCACCTGGAGGCTCGGTAAAATGTGTTTTCAGGTTTTCTGATTTACTTCGACCTCGAAAAATGGTATTTAAAAAGTAAACAACTACCTTAAAAGCATTCCTGGTTTTTGTTAATATACTACTCTTCGGTTCCCTGCAAGCTAGACGTTTACGGGTAAAAACTTTTATTAAGAATATAAATGAATCATAGAATCGATACTTTATTATTTCGGGTTTTTTCGTTTCCAGTTTCTGCGGCTACTACTCGCTTTCATTCAGAATCATACGGTCGTACTGGCCTTCTGGACAGTCTACGACTTGGCAGATACCGGGCTGTAATTTCATTCTAAAATAATTATTTTATTAAATCCTTACGGCATTAGTGACGCGGTCTCCACAACAATGGCTGCCCACCTAAAACCTGGCATATTCTCAATTCGTTTTATAACTCACTTGATCACATTCGAAAGTGCTGTAGCATTTTCGCCGTTATTCAGCTAAAATAAAGATAAGAAGAGTTTCTGAAAATTGTAATACCGCCAAGATACCGGCAATAAGGCAGGAAAGAATAAAGATTAGGGTGATGAGCTTCATAGTCGCGGGAAGATAAACCAGGAAGTGCTTTTATGGCCAATATCTGTTCCGCCGGCGGTCGTCCATGTTCGCCGAGAGAAACGAAAAATCTCTCGCACCACAACAAGCATGAGGGATAAAAGAAAAAAAAAACAAGATTTGGCTTTTAGTCGGCGATCAGGGAACTGGCAGCAATTTTTAAGGCAATTTCCTGGGGCTACGCTTTACTTCACCCTTTCCAACTGGAAGGTTTTCGCTATAACTTTTTTATTTCACATGATTGTAGGCTCAAATTAAAACCCTTAGTATTGTTTGGACGCTCTAGCGAAAGGCGTTGCAAATTTCCCGACAAAATAAGCGGAAATACCGAAAACTTGGAGACCCTTCGGCTATGGCCCCTTACCTTTTCTCCTCCTTTTTTCCAATGGAAACGGCAGCTCTCCTACATAAATTATTATTCTATCCTTTAGCTTTTCCATTTCTAGTATTTGATCAGTGACATGTCACATCCTTATGGAACAGAATTGCCTTTGGGCAGGGATGGTTGGGGTGGGGCGCGCTTTAGGCGTCGGGAAGGGATGAGGGAGTGGGGCTGGGGAGAGAGGACAGAAGGCGAGGGGGGCAGAGATCGGCGGGGATCCTTTCCCCCGCACAAATCCCAAAAATGCTAAGGCCATAAGGATGTGATGTAGTTTATGAAAAAAGACGTCATTTTTGATCATACACGATTTTCAGCTTGCTTAGTTGACCATAAAAATCTCCCTCCTATCAGCCGGGCATTTTTCCGATTGGCAGTGGGCTATCTGAAAAGCTTAGGAAATTAACTAGACTTTGTTTTTAGTTTACGTAGTCGCCATCCATCGCCTGGCAACAGTGTCCATCCTGAAAATTAACAACAGCTAATGCAGAGAGAAAGACAATTGCTTTAGCTTTGAAAAACTATCTCACTTGCTCACATTGCACGGAATTTATGCATTCGTCTCCATTGGATAACTGGAATAAAGTCAGGCGGTTTAAATTTTTATCACCGCAATAATGCCCGCAACAAGAAATGGCAACAATAAAAATACGGTGAAGCACTTCATGTTTGCGACAGAGTCAAAGAAGGAGAGCTTTTATAGCGACTGCCGGTTCCACCACTTTAGCTTGTGTAGAGGAAAACCGGAAAAAAAAGCTACCAACCGAAATCCTGAAAAAAAACTTCAAAGCGTGCCTTCTAATTTTCAGCCTTTTCATATCAATGGCTTTAGCTTAAAATTTATTCATTTACACACCGATAATTCATATGCACAAAATTTTCACGCTTCATCTTACAATTTTTTCCAAGACGACTCCGAAATCTGCCGGACGATGAAAAACTGTAAAAAACATATTCATCGGAAAATATACCCCCACCTGATAATCCGCTAGTAGGCCCTGTCGGGGGAAGAGTTGGTGACGGCGTCAAATTGTAGCGGTTTAGAAGATTTCCAAGGATCTGGAATCAAAATATCTTTTCGCGTTTGCTAGCATCAACTTACCAAGTAGATTTCCGCTTTAGCCATTCCCTCGCCAGGGCAGCTCCGTTTTCCGATGCCAAATGGGATTGTCTTCTCGGTCAACTCTTTCCCATTTTCGCCAAGGTAACGCTCGGGAGAAAACTGTTCAAAGCAGTTTTTAGAAATTAGCTAGTATTTTACCTTTTCAGTCTGCTCAAACACTTTCGGATCGTCCAGAATTACCGAAAGTTGCGCGGTGGTCAGGGTACCAATTGGGATGTCGTAACTTAGAAATACATTTTGATAAAAAAGCCATAAAGCCCACCCGGCAATCTTTGAGGGTCCTGTTGTTCTCCTCCATAGATTAAAAGCTAGAATGGAAGCATGACGTTGGATTTCCTAAAAAAGATCTTCTATTAACGTTCGCGCATAAAGGAAGCTAAAGGTGTCAAAAATCCTCGGTTTTCAGGCTTGAAACTTACGGTACACGCTGCCGTAAAGTAAGTAGTAGAGGCCCGGTCGGTCAATGACAAATTCCGGTTTTGGCTGGTTACTCTTAAAATCTAAAACCTGCATTTTTCACTTCCTAACTCTACCTACCTCGTCCTGACACCTTTTCATGGCCGCCAAATTTTTCATAAACAGAAACAATCCCCATTGAATGGTCGTGGAAGTAGTGTCCTGGCCAGCTTGCCACAAATCGAACAGATCAATGACAAGGCCGTGGGTTCTAAAAGAGAAAGAGTTACACTCCTTCTAAGACACACGTCATTTCTCCAACATCCCCGCCACGTCTGCGCTGCTCGAGTAGGTAGGCGTCAATGTAGTCACCCGGCTCGTCGTGCAGGGTGTAGTCTCCAGAAGCGATTTCACGGATTCTAGAGCGAATGGAAGATTATAATTTATGCACGCGACTAAGAGCGCATCTTTAGAAATATACCTCCGATCAACGTTGTCTTGCACCAACTTGAGCACGGGCTCGATGGCTTCCATAGTGCTTGTGTAACGTCTAAACGTGTCGGCTTGGTATTTATCCAGATGTTCTGATATTACATCTTTTTACTATACGCTACAAACAGCCCACAAAATGTCGTTGTCAAAAACAAACCGACTCAACAGCGGCACATATTTCCACCAATGCCAAATCAAATAGTCAAGCGGCGTCGCGCTGTCCGCCATCTCGTTAATCCCGTTTTTCACCCGGAAAAAGTGATCCCGGCTTTCCTTGAACAAAAGTATGGTTTAAAGGGATACCCAACCTTATCGAGGCTCAAAAAGCAAAAACCTGACGCGGGCGGGGGTCGAACCCGGAACCCCGCCTTCAAGGCCCGGGTGCTGCCAGGGGTTGGGGGGAGGGGGGCCCGGGGGGGGGGGGGGTTTGCTTCTTACACTCAAATTTTTTTCTTTTTTTTTGTTTTTTTTTTTTTTGTTTGCGCAAAACATTGGGTATCCATTAAAGAAGTCAAAACCCACATCGGTTTCAAATCGATATCCGAAAAGCAGACGATTGATCAGGTTTCCGATCAACATATTGACGAAATCCAACGAATTCACTTCCACCTTCCCACTCTTCATGTTGTTCTCTGTGTTGGTGAGGTGGTGGTCGAATTCTGGAACAGGATACGATTTTAAAGTTTCGAAATGATAGCTAGCCGACCAAAACTGAAGAATAAGCGCAAAATTACCTTGAATAATTCGCTGTTCCATCAAATTCTTGCCCATGCCGAAATTTCGCAAGGTTTGAAGGGCGAAACGTCTAAATATTTTGATACGATTTGGAAAAATTGAAAACCTGTGCTCGGTCCACGTCTCGCCAACGCTTGAGCCAATTCCCCAAATCTTTCCGGTATCATCCATTTCCGCCAGCAGTGCAAAAGGGGCCAAAAATCGCCCAACCTGCGTGTGACCCTAAATTGATTAAAAATTAGGAGTTGCTTGCAATTTATACCTGCGTAATCATGAGATCTTTTGCCTTCTCGTAAGTACAAATATTTACAAAATACATTGGGCCGATCCAAAGTGTGTAAACCTCAAAAAAGTGGTCAGTCAGGAATGTTAGCAACCAACGTCGCCGTGGTGTTGCTGGAATTCCTGCATGGCCCTGACAAATCCGCCCTTTTTCGTAGCATACCAGAAAAGCTGAGGGAGATTGCCGAGGATAAGGAAGGGTAGTGGACCTGGAAAAGGCATAGGCTTATATTGATGGTAGGATGATAGGAGACTGAATGTTTATTTTCCAAACCTGGTGGTAACCTCCTGGCTATCGTATATTGATAAAGAGCATAGGTTAAAATAAGGGCAGCGACGAGCAGTAGAAACATGTTGATAGTATACCCCAGAAGCTGCTTACGCACAATTGACAGCCAGGAACTCTCAGATGACACTGTATAAATATGTGTAGGTTATCAGCTAGACGCCTCCCGTGGTCACAGAGGGCGATAGATCACATATTTTCCAGGGAGGAACGGGGCGACGAGGGAACGGTACGAGGCTACGAATCTACGGAGTCATGGCGTGAAATGGGGCGTACCCTCACCGTGCCTTTCTTTTAATACGTCCCCGGTTTGAGGCACCAATGCGATCGAAAAATGTATCTAGTTTATACCTCCTAGATAGCAGAAATTCCGGGCCTCTAATAGTGTATTTTAGCGCTTCTTATATTTAACTTTTCCTTTGATTTATAGTTTTCGCTTAAAAAGTCAGAAAAATATATTTGAAAGCTAAATGCAAATTACTTAAAAATGTTCAAAAAAGCTTAGCTTTTTTAAAAAAACGTTTTTTTTACCTTGGATACTTAGAAACCGGATCAAAAGCTGCGGAAAAGCCTGTATTTCATTAGTAGGATCGACATGAAGGCAATGATTTTCCAACCTCCCCCCCACCCCCGCTAACAGTCCAGTCCCAGGCAATCCGGTCCAGAACTGCTTGGCACCCTGATAATAATCTCAAACCCATCTTTTTTGCGATAACTCAAACCTCTTAACAATTCTTTAATTATCAGCTAGTGATTTTTGAGATAAACTATAACTTCCAACTCGGTTTGAAACCGTTGTGTTCAATTTGTGATCCCGGGTGCTGAGGTACGCTGGCTGGTCGTTGGTGACCTTGTTTTTCTCGTTCGAAGAGCTGGGGTGCGGCAGAACTATCTTATTAAGCCGATTAACGCCCGTTCCCCCACCCTCGCCTCAAAGCCGATAGATACAAAGATCAAGCCCGGTTGGCCCGCTCCGGGAATTCCGAGAAAATGTTTTCGCTTTCGCTTTCCTTGGAGGAAGGACGAGACTTTAGGCATTTTGGTATACTGGTATTATCGTCAGAGGTCTTAAGAAGTTTGTAGGTAACCTTTAAAATCTCAGAGTTAATGCACAAGTTCACAAAATTTTAGCACATTTTTAAAACGTCTTCAAGGTAATCAACTATAATAAAAAGATAGGGGTGTCTGTCCGTGTGTCCGTCAACCCGGATTCAACCGAGGGGAAAGGAGCAGAGGGTCTCTTCGGATGGAGAGTGGTCAGAAACCCCCAAACTGATAAAAAATAGAAAAAGTTTTAGTTTAAATTTTTTAAATTAACTTGAAAGTTTTCCCTAGTAAAAGGGGGGGGAGGAGGTTGGGGTTAGACATCGTGAGCCAGGTCGCGCGGTCGTGGATGAAAATTTTCACGGCGGATCATTTCTTTCTCTCTCCATCCGGTCGGTCGTTATTTTCGTTTTTAAAGGGTTCCGGGGGGAGGCATCAAAGGGAGGTATTTAGGTTTTGAAGGGTTTCAGCCATGGGGGCGAAGCCCGGGAAGGATTAGGTAGTTTTGGCGGTTGGGGTGTAGGTGAGGGGCGGAGGCAGTCGGCGGCGAAATCGGTGGTCTATACGACTGGACAATCTCCTCCAGATCGCGTGGTGATTTTTGAAAAACCTTTATCGCCGCTTTTCGGGTGCTGAGAATACGTCAACAAATACCAGTGCCAAATATTTATACAAACTTTTCCAATTCAATGCCAAAATTGGACGGGTGATTGAAAACTGAAATAAACATATCTTGTAAGTCCATAAATGATAAATTACTCGCAAAAGTGCCTTCAGCTCCCGTTGGCGGGTTGTCCTCAGTCTGAGTCAGCTGATAGCGATTGAGGAGATTGCCGAGGATCTAAAGATTCCATAGAAATTACCATAAACGTAATAGATTACGAGATATATTTGTGCTCGGGCAAACCCTTCGCCGGGACAGCTTCGTTTTCCGATACCAAAGGGAATTGTTTTCTCGGCCAATTCCTTTCCGTGATCTCCGGTGTAGCGAGCTGGGTTGAACTGGAACAACGTTTTTTAGTGTTCACCAAGCCTATTTTATGCAGAATTTTGCGCTGATTAAAACCGCGTTTTCATAAACTGCGAAACGACCAAAATAAGAAAGTTATGACGCTTTAAAGGGCGAAAAACGGCAAAAGTTGGCCTTTTTGAGCATTTTTCACACTTTAAAGCTTCATAACTTTTGAAATATGGTCGTTTCGCAGATTCTGAACAGTTAGTTGTGATCAGCGAAAAAATCTGCATAAAATAGGCTTGGTCCCATTTCAAAACCCGTGAACACTAAAAAAAAACGTCTCCTTGTTAGAAAGGTATCTTTCGAGCATTTATTCGTTAAGAAATTATTCGTTACCTTGTCCGATTCTGAAAACACATTTGGATCCGAGAGTATCAGCGAAAGTTGTGCTGTGGTTAGCGTTCCGACGGGAATATCATACCTGTAACGAGGCATGAAGTTTATACTTCAATTTTTAAAAAACCCGTCAATATGCGAGGGTCCCGTTGTGCGCCTCCATAAATTAAAATTAGCGATGCTGGCGCACCTTTGGATTTCCTAAAAGTATCTTAGACAAAATTCAATTTTTAATTACTGTACAAGCATCCGCAAAATATGGCGTTATCGTTCTATCGGCCATTAAAAGGTCACGATTTCCGTTGGTGAGGGATCGGATCTAGAGAACAAAAATGATTAAAAAACCAGGAATCAAACAACCTCATACTGGCAAATCTTCAATTTTCCAGGGTTCTGCAGGAAATAATAAAGGCCCCATTGAATGGTGGTGGCCGTAGAAGATTGGCCGGCTTGCCAAAGATCATATAAATCGATGACGAGGCCATGTGTACTTAGAAAACAGGTATTTAAGTTAGGGTGCGTGTCGTACGTCATCTCTCCAAGGTCTTTGCCACGTTTACGCTGCTCTAACAGATACGCATCAATGAAATCTACCGGTTCATCCTCGAGCTGGTATTTTCCGGAACCAATGGCTTGGATTCTGAAAAAACTGGTGCTCTTTCTCAAAACCCAAGCTCACCGATTTTCCGTGTTTTCCTGAACAAAATCTAGCGCTGGGTTCACCATTCCCATTACGGCATTCCAACGACTGTAAAAATCGGTTTAGCTAGAGGGTGACTAGACTATAGGGCACGGGGAAGAGAACAGGGGGCGGGGCCAGAGCGCAGATTCTCCCTTCCCCTGTATGCCTGCCATCCTGTACCGCTCAAACGAACATAACTGGTAAAGGGCGGAATGCTGTGTTTAGATGGTCTTAAAATTAACCAAGTCAAAATTAATTTACCTTTTCAAGCCGGGCACATATTTCCACCATGGGCACACCAAAAAATCAATAGGACTCAAATGGCGGGCATTAGCTGCCATTTGATGCTTGCGCTTCAAGAAATCTTGGCGGCGCTCCTAAACCTCAGATCAATTAAAAAAACCGATTTTTTTACCGGATTATCAAACCGGAAACCAAACAACAAGTTGCTAATTAAATTGCCAATCAACAATTCGGTAAATTCCTCGGCTGTCGTGCTAAATCTATCACCAGCTCTGTCCTTTTCCAATTCATCACATCGCAGGTTGAATTCTACGTTCGAAATAGACGTTAAATACTTTTAACCCTACCTTCCATAATTCGACTTTCCATCAGGTTGTTTCCCATACCAAATTGTTTCAGTGTATTTATCGCAAAATTGCTGTAACGATATAAATAAGTAAATCCGAGGAAATAAAAGAAACCGATGTTCACTCCATGTCTCGCCAGTGCTTGAGACGATACCCCAAATTTTTCCCTTATCGTCTAAAAATCAGTAAAATTAACTTTTTAGAAAAATCTACCGATTTCTGCTAATGTTGCAAATGGGGCCATGTAGCGTCCAAGTTGTGTGTGACCCTAAATTTTCGCAGCTACCTAAAAGATCTCAGCTAGTTTGCCTGCACCACCATCAAATCTTTGGCTTTTTCGTAAGTACATATATTAACGAAAGGCATCGGGCCGATCCATAGTGTGTGGACCTAGGAATCAAAAATTGTATCGTAAACTCGAAAAATCTTACATCCCCAAATCTTTTCTGCATCTCACGCATGGCCAACGCAAAATTCCCAAGTTTGCGACAATACCAGAAGAGATGCGGAAGATTTCCGAGGAGCAAAATTGGGATCGGGCCTGAACCAGGTTTTTTATTGGTCCCAATTTTTGACTAAATTCCTACCTGACGGTAATCTTCTAGCGATTAAATATTGGTAAAAAGCATACGAAAGCACTAACGACGTCAGTAAAAGCAAGAACATTTTTTGAGCGAATAAAAAAAATATGGCGTTCCAATCAAGGGGGGCCTGTGATGTACTCGCTATCAGCTGTTTTTGCTAGTTGTTTGTGCGCTCGAAATGACAGCTTCTTGTCACAACACACAGGGGCAGCTATCGGGGGTGCATCGATTCAATGTATAAAACGATAAAAATGAATACTCTTGGATTCATCGAAATTTGGGGTGTACTATAGCGAATCAGGTAACCAAAAACAGAGCTTACAATTAGCTCACGAATCACGAACGGAACACAAATCACAAAGTACACCTTTGCCCATTGCCCGGCTAACGGTTAAGAATCACCATAGTTTATTTACTATGCATTACTTCCGAGAATTTTTTAGTATTTCTCGCCACTACAATCTTTTTTGATAGGACATCCAGTCACTCCGTATTTGATTATTTTCCCCGCACAAATGGTCTACGATTTTCGCCAAAATCTCCATTCGATAAGCACGATTTTGATGAACTGGGATTGGATCGTGAAGGATATGATTCTAGCCATCGCAACCATCCCGACACTTGCCATTTTAATAGTGATATTCGTGCAATTTCACCGTGAGTCGCTCGCGTTGCGGACGGCGTTCGAGAAGCTGTGTCTGTGTCTCGTAGTGTCGGTAGGCTAGCGGAGAACGTTCATAAAAAATTGTTTAGGATATGATAAATATTCTGACAGAGACGATTGCTTGGGATATTGCTTTCTGGGGTCTTGTCAGCTTCTATTCACACATTCAGGTGAACGAGAATCGGGCTCAACTACCAAAAATTGCAGGAGGGTTTCGTGCCACATTTCTTCACTTTCCTCCAAAATCTGACGCGCCATTTCCAATTTACTTGCGCGTGTTTGATCTCGTTTAATCGTTATACAGCTGTTTATTGGCCGTTTGGGATGGTCGCCGTGTTGCATCCAATCGGTCCCAAATTGGGAGCAGAGGCGTATCGGACCCTAAATAAAAACAATCCTGACTTATAGCCCCATAGCTACAGTCGTTCTTGAGTTATCACGAAAACAATGTTTTTCACGAAATTTTGAACAGTTTTTCGGCTCTTTTTAGACTTTGCATCGATTCACATCGACTTGCGGCTGCAAATCCCTAATTTCGCTTAAGATCTGGAGTAATTTGGCGTTGTAAAAATCGCTTAAATCGACCCTTTTTTAATAAATTTTAGTCCGGAAAAAATTTCTTAAGGTGAAGAAAGTTTGCCGAATCGTTTTCGCTTAACAGTTAGGGGTCTAATCCCACGGAAACCCTAAGAAAAATCGAAAATAAAGTTTGTTTTTGCGATAACTCAAAAACTACTATAGCTACAGAGCTATAGGTCAGTATTGTTGTTACTTATGGTCTGATACACCTCTGCTCCAAATTTGGGACCGATTGGATGTAACACGGCAAACCCAGATGGTTCGTTTTTTGGGACACCCTGTATGATGTAGCCTAGCCGCAACAATAGATAATGACTCTTTAGTTCTGGGGCGACAATACACATCGGCTATTATCGGCCGCCTTTTCATTTTCTACTGGAGCGGCCCTTTGCATGGCCTTCCCTGAAACATATTATCAACAACTTGGACCGTCAATGTGGGCATTGTATGCCGGGGAAACTTATTTTGTAAGCTGTAGAGTCACGTCGCCAACCACTTTTTAAGCTCGGCCTGAAATTAGCTGTTTGGAATCTGCTGATCCTGCTGACCTGGACAGTCATGAGCTCCGTTTTCAATCTTTTAGTCGTGATCAAGGTGTTCGCTTTGAGACAGGGTCAGCTGTTGACGACTGGTCGTTTGTTGTCTACGGTAAGCAGGGATTCTTAGGTTTTCTTTACAGGGTGATGCAAACAAAGTGAGGTTTGCGCTGAAATACCTCACGCACGGAAACGAATTGGGCCATCGTTACCTTGTCAGAATGCTTAAATATGCTGGGTATAAAGAAATAACACTGTTTTTCAGGTTTTTTTTTCAGCCGGTCGTTAAAATTTTTTTTGAACATTTTTGAAAAAGTAAAAAACTTTGACGACGAAAATACTGGAAGTTTTGCTAAGTTATGGGGGCATGTGGGGCATCAAAATGAAGAGCTCGGAATGCGCTATCAAACGCATGATAAAGAATAGCAATCGGTTTAACTAGCCGTCAATGGGAGCGTTCGGAAAATCGAGATCTAACCTTAAAAAAAATCGAATCCCAGGCCGAGCGAAAGTTGTGCTTCGTCAGTCTCTATGCATGTACGTTCACTCTGCTCTACATCTCAGCCGCGGTCTGCCATCCACCCAAAGTTATGCTGACATTTTAGACCATAAATTTCTTTCTGTATGCCGGCGACGCCCTGAGAGACATCATTCATGTAAGCATTTCGATGAAACAGAAAGAGAGAATTTTTAGCTATTAATGGGTGTTTTTTTCAATTTTATATCCCTACCAACGCTGTGGATTTGGATTTGGCACTCAACTGAATTACAATCGCTGCTTCGGAAAGCCATTTTTTAGGAAAGCGACCAGGACGTCAAAGGTGGTGACAACAATTGCATAATAAAGTGTTGGAAATCACGCATGTAATCTTTACATTAATGTGCACTAATCAGGAGATCCAACCCGAAAGCCACGGAACACATTTGTTTGGATATTTCAAAATGTCAATTCCTGGCAGACAACTAGCAATTTATTATTTAAAGATAGTGACCACAGTTATAAGATTCAGTTGCATGACTGGGAGAATTTTTTGCACCAGTCAAGAAATAAGTGGTAGGCATAATACTGAGGATTTCAATAGCCTTGGCACGAATATTCAAAAATGTATTTTTTAAAATGTCATTTTAAAATATTTAAGGCTATAAGAATTAAATTTTTGAAAAATAAATAATGAAAACCTCATAACACTGAAAATATGGAAAATTGCCGATCAATAGTGTGCCTATCCAATATGACGCGGTTTCCAAAAATTCCCTTCTAATTGAATTTTTATTGCAAGCGAAGGGGGTAGAGTTAGCAGAGTAAAATTATACCAAATCGAAAAGTCCATCCCACTATCAGTTAAGTATTCACAAGCCGAAAAATGCACACACACCAAAAAATTACAGTCATAGATACGAAGTATCAAAGCAAATTATCAACGGGCAGCCACGATGTGCAAAAATTATTTTTTGCAATAATGTAAATTTCCCTCCAAAAGTATTCAGATCCAAGGGAAAGCAGATGGACAAGCGGTAAGAATAAAGTTGGAAAAATAAAGGAATTTTTTCAAAAATTCATTTTTATGAGGAGATCCACCGTTGCATAAAGGAACTGCGTGAAAATTTGGCCTCGCGAGGGTTCGATGTAAAGCTCGAAAAACGTTCTAGGGATCGAAATGGGTAAATTTTAATGTAGCAAATATCAAAATACGCGGATATATCAAAAAGCAAAGCTATATTGCCAGAGCGTCGAGGGGAGAGTTCTCGGTGGGTGACAAGATGACAACCGGGCGGATAGTCGATCAAAAAAGTATAAGAAACGTGTCTTAAGTTCAAATGGTAATTACTGCAAAAATATTGCCAATCAAGAGACGAAATCACAAATACAATGATGCTACATATAAAAAGGAATGCAACTGGGGAAAACATAGCCGAGGACCAAAATTAAATTAGTTTTTGTTTGCCTATGTCTAGAAAATCGTCGAAAACAAAAAAAAACAAATTAAAATTCAATTTTTCGAAGAGCAATTTTATTGCAAATTGTCCTGAGGTTCGTCGGATTCTTCCTTTACTGCAGGCGACTGTGGTGGCCGGGGCGATGTTTGGGCGGCGGGGGCCGACATGGCCGCTTCGTTGGCTTTGGCGAGGATGGCCGCCAGGTCGGGGATCACCAAGGAGGGCGGTGATTTCGGGGATTCTGGAGATTCCGTGGAGAGTCTTGGTTGTGGCAATCCGGGGAACATCATGCCAAGGCTGCTTGGGACTAAAAATAAGCAAATTAGGAAAAGCCTTCGAGTTTTTGGATTTTTGGGAGCTACAAAAACGTGGTAAGCGTTAAAAATTAAAGTCTGATGATCAGTCGAAAATCCGCTCACCTCCAAGCGACTTCAACGCTTCCGCCATCTGTTGCATGTAGATCATAGCCGCGGGTCCGGGCATCCCCGGCAACCCACCGGCCATCAACAAGTTGCGCAGCGGGTTCATGTCCGCGGCAGTGGTTGTAGACACCAATGGTAGAGGAAGGTTCGGAAGCAGTGAAGGTGGAGCGGGGCTGGTCGGAGATGGGCCCTCAGTGCGGGGGGGAGGATGGGCTACGGCTGATGACCGCCGGGGCCAAGCCGCCCGGGAGGAGGGGGAGCATCGATTCTGGAAAAAGATAGGTTAAGAAAATCGTTGAACACGATATAATTTTACGAAATCTGATAAGGTTTAAGAAGTTACCAAGCTGCTGATGCTGCAACGCGGCGAAAAGTTGGGCGGCATCCTGGTGTTGGGCCAGGAACGAAAGTTGCGCCTGCAACTGGGGAATACGGTACTTTCTTATTTGGTATTGAAAGAGAGAGAGAGAGAGAGAGAGTGAGAGAGCGAGAGAGGGAGAGAGAGAAAGCAATAGAGACAGATATCCAAAAAAATGCGTTTTTCATCCTAAATTTACCTCAGCAAAGCTTGGGTTGGCCGCCCCAAATGGTCCACCAGCTCCCGGATGCGCGTACGGATGGTGAGAAGTGCGCTCTTGCTTGCGGAACTTGGCGCGACGGTTTTGGAACCACACCTAGAAAATGGGACAGTAATTTATGATTTAGCTTGCTGCCTTGTGCCCCAAAATCAGCGCCCTTAGCATAGCACGGCCCGCAAAATTCCGATTGGTCTCAAATCGGTCATTACCGGAACGAGATAGCGATCAAAGGAGGGATCGGGGGTCTGATCCGATGCATTGCGCTATGGGGGCTAATGAGTGTCGATTGGGCAAATTGATGATGAGAACCGGGATAGAGGGATGGGGGGAGAGAACCTCAATCCCCACTAATTGCTCCGATTTAAGGGCTTGGGAATGATGGGGGTGCACCTGCGAGGTATTACTCTAGCGAGAGCGAGGGGATGAAACAGTTTAAGGTGGCTTTAAAGGGGCTGGAAAGCGTTGTCCTATTTTTATATTTCGTGGGCTCGGTGTCGACAGGCAATTGACCTAGCTTAGACCCTAATCAGTACCTTTAAAAATTATGCGAGCATCCGCTTACGACACCAGTTTTGAATGAAAAGCTCTATGAAGTTAAATTTCTCTCACCTGCACTCTGGCTTCAGTCAAGTTGACGCGTGCAGCAAGTTCCTCCCTGAAAATTCACGGGTTACTTTCATTTCGGTATTCCGAGACCTTGTACCCTGTTGTACGGTTTCCCCGATTTCGAGCTCTGGTTCCAATTTTTGGGGGGTGTGTGCGCGTGAAAACAGGGTGAGTTCACGCTCCGGCTAGACATGAGTCGGCGGGCAGATTAGAGCAAATTGGTGCGTAATTTCACTACATTCGTACCGTAGTTTCGGTAAAAAAGTGTCGTAATGGATTTTAAGGGGTTTCGTCTGTCTATGGTGCTTTTGTCGCATAAGTACCTTATAATTATTTATCGTATTAAGTCTAACATAAGCCTAGGACTAAGCATCCGAACTCCGTTTAATACTATCTTCGATGGCCATCTACTTCCGCTTCTAACCCCTCACATTGCCACCCCTTCAACGCAGCTCCGGGCCGCGAATCGTATGCACCGATTTGGGGGCAATTGAGCGAACCAAATTTCCAGCGCGTCCGGGTGGTCTCACCGCGACGACCAGGCTATCGGGCACCGCCGAAAATTATGCATAATATGCGATATCCCCAGGTAACCCGGCGGCCCGCTACCCCCACACGTGTCTACGGCCCGGCCTGGCCAATGGATGGCTAATTAGGGGCAGAAAGAGAGACAGACAGAGAGAGAGACCCACATATAGATAGACTTATACCTGGCTGGCCGGGGCCTAATGAGAAGCCGCCTGGCGGGTCTAATGAACGAAATTAGCGGTTCAGAAGGCTCAGAAATAAGGCGTGCTGCTGTACGTGGGATCACGCGACTACGATTCCCGGAATTTTTACGCACTAATTTGGGCAATCAAGGCCCCTAGAGGGCTGCTGGGATCAAAATATGTTTTAGGCAAATCAAAGGACCAGGGCACCAGATTGGGAATTACCGTATCGCAATAAATCGTCGTCAATTTTGAAGTTTTGGGTTTCAGCGAGTACACTGGCATACCTTTTCCCCCGGGGCAAGAAAAGTCTAGGATCTCGCAATTTAGCGCGTGCTAGAACAAATTAGTTGGCAGGGGTTTTGGCATGAGTGTGCGTAATCCGGTACGGAAAACACAGGTGGTTTTCAAGGGATTCTAAATTTAGACCACCCCGGCTCCGAACCTACGCACGGTCGGGGTACGGTAATTAAAAGAATAATGAAGTCGGGGTGCTGGAAATTGACTAGGTGCGGCTCGAACTTCAAACCGATTTGGTACGATCGCTAAAGGGATAGTGAAGCCAAGGTACCGCCAAAAACCCTATGCGGCTCCGAATCGGTTAGGTACGATACTCCTCTTAAAGGGGTCTGCTCAGCCATAATTTAACGAATTTGGATTACCTGCGATACGTACATAAACGTACTGGCGTAGCCAAACGTATTGCCAAGTCACTCCTCAATCCCCGGTTCAAATCCAAAATCTAGCTATCGCCTTAAATTACGACCCCCACACAGGAACCAGTTCAATCCAGGCTGTCGCAAATTAATCGCCAGTCTACAAATCTTGGTCCCTTTTCGGGTTATTCCATTTATTCCATCATGCCAATTTGGGGGTCCTGGTTCTGCTAAAATTGGTGCCATTCGACAGGTGGGGGTCTCTCTCAATGTGCGTGTGTCCCGAAGGGGGGGCTTTTGGCAAGCCGACACCACAATTTCCGTGCGAGAGAGAGAGAGAGAGAGACTGGGCGCTTTTGGGCCAATTAGCTGGCTAATTGTCGGTGGGCCATATTTGGGGTGGGCCATATTCGTGGATATGGTTGGTTATGGAATATTGAGCGGAAATGGTCCAAAGAAGCCGCTTTTTGGGCTTAAAGGGACAGTGAAGTCAAAAATTCATTGTTTACCTCCTCAGCGCGCGTCGGCAAAAATTTACTAATTTACGCTAGCAAGTGCTTAAATATATTTAAGGTTAATCTTTCCAAGGCTAGAAGGCAAAAATATTCTAATCGTACTTTCGGCAAATCACCAAAATCAGCCACTCAATATCGAAAATTCGAAAAAGTTTTAATGCTTCGTTTTCCCCATGAAAAACAACTTCACCCTCTAATATATTCTAGTTAATTTCCGAATCTAATCCAATATTTCTCTCCCTTGAGTGCGCAACGTGCCTCCAGCACCTTCCGGATTATAAATAAGGTTTCCGAGTTCAATTCCCCACCCCTAATCCCATTATATTTAAGCACGACGCATCAGACACCTTCCCCCTGATTGAGACCAACAATTTTCAGTCCCACAATTTTTGCTGTGAAATGAAATGTCGGGAAGCCCCTTGGGGGGAGGGATTTAGGTGCATTCCGGGGGAAACGCGGGTATTTTTGAGTGGCTGCTAACAAGCGCTAGGGGCTGTTTGTGTGATGATGCGGACAACGATCGAAAATCAGCTAGAAAATTTCTCAAATGATCACTGCTAGATTGCCAGCTCAATTAACGAGTATTATCTCATTTTCGCCGAGCCGTGAATTGGCGCGTGCTGGATGCCGGGGGCAACGCGGCGCTCCTTTGGACGGGGACGTGAAAGCGGTATGGATGACAGGCAATTGGGGCAAATGGACGCGATGTGGGATACGGTAACCCGATGCCTATTTGTCAATTATCGCCCAGGTGCCGGGGCTTCCGCCGCCGACGGCTTTGTGATTGCGACTGGGGGTAATTTGAGATGGGGAGGGTGGTTAATGGTATAATCGCCACTTAAATCTTGCCTGGGTTTCATCGATTTTTCTTTCAGATATTAAAAAGGGGTATTTGACGTCTTAATAGAACTCCTAAAACATCCTGCTAAGCTTTTTTCAAAGAATCAAGCAAAAATCCGTTTATGATGCGATTATCAGGTTTTGTAAGTATTGCGGAGGTCCAAACGTATTAATAGGAAGCTATATAATTTTCTGCTATCTTCTAAAAAAGGAAAATACGGCTAGCATCCCATTAATATACCTATTTACCCCGTCCAAAGCGGTAACCGGAACTTCTCACCCATTTTTCGTTTGACACCTCTTTCCACTCCTAATTCCCCATTTCCGCCCGGCAATATTTCCCGCTCGGGCCTTCCAAAAGCGCTGAATATCGGATTATATCACACACGAGTGGGACGTTAATTTATGGGCTAGACTCGGCTATCGTAGCTCCGGACGTAATCTTTCATATTAACCCCACGACAAAAAATGTCTACGCAATAAAATCCGCTGGTCTTATCCGGGGGGGGGGATAGATTGGATCATTGACCTTTCTATTTGCCAATTAGCGCCTTATGAAGCCACATCCACAGGGTGTGGGGTAAATAGATTGCGTAATCGGATGATATTAATGAAAAAAGTGAGGAAATGAGAGCATGCCATTAACAATTGCATAGACTACACCTTTCAAAAGTTGGAACCAGTACTGCCAAAAGGTTCTGCTAGCCTGCCCTTTTCGTTTTCCAGAAAAACCAACCTAGTGAATACATCCGGATAGTGTGTACGTCCAAAGACTTTTTCCAGCTCGTCCAGTTGATAGGCGCTGAAGGTGGTACGGTATCTAAAAAGTTGCTTATCTTGTGTTCTACCTTCTGATTAAACTATTAAGTTTTCCCCTACTTTCCGGTATATCCTCAATTCCGATTCAAGCCCCTCCACCATCGACGCAAAGCTCCTAATTAATCCAATTTAGCCGCGCATTTCCATACAAAATGAGCGGATTTACCGAGGGGTGCCAAACACGCGCGCGTGTCTTCCTTCTCCCTCCCATCGCTAATTTGCGCCCCCCAGGTAGCGTAGTACAATGTGTGAAAGGGGCCGGACAACAAGGTATTGCGGTGCAATTTGATTTGCGCGAATGAATTTTTGGGAAATGGCCAGGGGGACGGCGGGTTTGAGGAAACCTTTTTTACGTAAATGTCTAGCCAATTTTTTTTCAGCGTTTTTAAGCGAGAGAGAGAGAGATAGAGAGAGAGAGAGAGTGCGAGAGAAGGATAGAATGAAAGAGCTAAAGTGAGCGCCAGAAGGATATGGAGATCGAGAAATGTCGAAGCGCCTTTAGACCCTCAATAAAGCCACAATTTCCCACTAACCTCCTCTGCTTGCGCTTTCCATTCTCATCAGGACTAGCGCTCCCGTCCGGCGAGCCGTCGAGTGTATCCCCGCGTACAGCATCGCTCATCCCCGGTCGTGGCTCGTGAAGACCAAGCGGCACCGGCACCACCTCAGCTGCTTCTTCCTTTGGTTGCTCGTTCTGAAATAACTGTAAGTCCAGGCTGCCAGCTGAAAGCTCTAAAAATCGAGCGCCACACCTACCGCTGTCGGTTCCTCGGGTCTCAGGTTGGAGGTGAGATTTGCGATGGAGAATGGGTGGGGAGCGTGAGGTCGCGTCATCGGGAATAGCGGAGGACCAATTTGGAGCTGGAACTGCGAAAATACAGTTATGGGTGGGCTTAGATTCTTGGCAACATGACAGGAATTCCAAATGGTCCGTACGTCGTTAAATATACTCTTTGAACGCCGCCCAAAACTAAAAACGCTTAGACTTCAGGCCCAAAACAAGTGCGGCCTAGCTGAAATGAGGAGCCCAATTTCTCTAAATCCTCAAAATAACTGCAAACAAAACACCCCGCCCCCTCTCATTTGCCGGCTTAGCCAGTATGGATGGTGATTTTGGGGGTGGCAGTGGGAGGGGATCTAGATAAACCCCCTGACGGCCACATACGCATGTCTCAATGCCCTGATCCCAGATCAGCCACCGCCACACCGGATTTTTCCTAAATATTTTCTCCACCTTTTTTCCGGCCATGCCCAAGCCGACTTTTCTGGAGTCTAGATTGCCTATTTTTGGCCGTTTGATGACAAAATGATCCGCGCTCGCGTGAGATTAGGAAATGTGTTTTACTTTCAGGAATTTCGGGAAAATTAAAAGTGACATGTTTAGCCGCGGGGATTTCATTGTCTGGGAAGTCAGTTTTCAGTATAAGGCGGGTCAGATTATAGTCCCGTAAAATGCCGGGGCCAGGAAAGGGCAAAATTCCTACCTGGGCCTGTGCGAGCTTCTGCTGGTGCATCAGGAATTCGGAGTGTTGGAGGTTTTTGAAGAGGAGTTGCTGAATGTTCATCATCATCGGCAGGGTCAGCTCGGGTTTATTGTCCTCGCTACTAAGAATAAAATTATGAAAACTCCATCCGTTTGAGCGTGCAACAGCGTCCCGGAAAATTTATGAAGACCTACTCGTCTTTTTTCCTTTCTTCTCTGTCTTCGTCTTCGAGCGGTTGATTTGCGTCGGGCATACGGTGACCGGAGGACTGGAAAAACTTAGATAAATTTCAGTACACAAAAAGAGAAACAATAAGGTATCGAAGCGTAGTACGAGAAAAACTACAGCATCCCAAATTCCATTTTGCAACATTGAACACCCCAGGGAGGACAACAGGACCAGCTGATCTCTGAGTATCCGATGGGAGGTGTGGGGGTAAAGCCAAGAAGAGCCCCCCAGCTCGCTGCCTAATAAGCGTTAAATGGGCCGTAATCAGGTGTGGATGGGGGTGTGGCCAAGATGAGAGAGAGAGAGAGAGAGAGAGACGGATTATCCTCCACCTATTTCCATCCCGGTTTCTGTCATTCTCTCTCTCTCTCTCACTCTCTCTCTCTTTCCCGGAATAGCACAACTTTTCCACGGATCAGCCGAGCGCTGGGGGCAGGACCTTTTTAGGCAAATCATATTTATTGAAGGGTCAACATGTTAAATCTAAAATCCCGGGCAATCCGGAGGGATCAGTCACTTCGTGCGTATGTGCAGTGAGGGTGGATCCCGAAAATCGTTGGTTCTGGTGCCCAAAATCATCGCGTTAAGCGCCCCCTAGGGGTTGCACCGTTCAACTAATTCTGGCAGAGTGTGAAAATAGACAGTAAGTGAATGGGGGGGGGGGGGAATTGCGCTAATGGAAATTGGAAAACAAATCACTTTTCCGGGAGCGGCAGAGAGAAGGAGTTAAGCGGGATTAAAGGAACTTGAAAGGTATCCCCCGGGAGAACGTCATATTACAGTATCCTAAGCCGGGCAAGGCACTTCGCTTCAGGTCGCAAAAATCTCCATAATTCAAGTATCCAAAAGCAAGCCCTTCAGAAATACTCATTTTTGCCTTCCTTTTGCTTTCAACTTAATTTCCAAACCAAGTACAACATGTCTTAACACCCATAACTTTGAGCAATAGAAAAGGTTAGAGCCCTCAAGTGGTTGGCCCACTTCAAACCTTCCATGCCCCTTTAAAATGTCAAGGCCTACAGATTCGACAATTAACCGCAAATTTCAAGCAAAACACACCTACATACGTCAAGCTCCTCTTCACACACTTCCGCTTCAGCCCTCAAAGGAAATTGCGCGCATTTCGGAAGGGGTATAAAAACCCCGGAAAATCCCCTCTTTAAGCCCGGACTGGGCACACCCAAAACAGGAATCACCTGTGGCCGCGGCGGGTAAGGGGTAAATTGCCTAATTTGCGGGAAGATTGGCGCAAAAACAAATCATTTCCCAGAACGAATATTAGGGCGTGTAATAATATTCCATCCAGTGTGGGTTAGCCCGCGAATAGGAGGGGAAAACAAGAAAAATTCGCTCCTACGACATGGGGGAGAGGTAGACTTTGTTTTGACGGCCAAGCTAATCGAATTAGCGGTGGGATTTTCGTATTATGAATATTATTACTTTGGAAATTGAGTTTGAATGAGGGATGGGGGTTGTTGACGGGTACTGTCACCATAAGTGTGTGTGGAAATTCAGGTATTTTGGAAAATTGCCTGGAAAAATACGAAAGACCCGATTTGGAACCTGATAAAAAATACGGTAGTACGTAGTAGTACGTAAACTACGATAGTACCATTATTGTACTCAAATTTCTAATTAACTACGCTACGCTACAAATTAAGGTATTTTTAGACTACTCAAAGCACAGCTTAAACTTTTTCAGGCTTATGCTACTTCCGGAACATAGTATTATTATGTTTGCCAGGCTGGCTAGCTACGCTACACAACAAATTACAACGTTTTTAAACTGCTAAATGCGTTTAATTGCAAAATCCTCAGAAAATACCGAAAATTTTTCCTGAACTTGATCGCCCCATTACGTCTCAAAACACCCCCTAAAAATAACAACGCGCCGAAAAGTACAATTAAATGTTGGCTGGCCACCACCGCCGGAAAACTTAATAAGCACGAGAAAATATGAGGCTTTGAGGGCTCGAAATTGGGAAATTTGAGGGTGCGCCGCTTTCAAGCGGGCAGCAGCAAATTATTATTAGTTGACACGGGCCACCGAGTAGTGAGGGAGACACACAAAGAGACAGACAGACAGACAGAGAAAGAGCTCTGACGAATCGGATTTCGACGGGCACACGTGATTAGTTAATGTGAGTAGTGCGAGTCTGTAGAATTTTTCATGAGTCGGGAAAGCAAAAAAGACGTATCGAATTAACATGGTTAAATATGGATGTCCTTACGCCACAATAACAAGTCCGATTTTTACCAAATAACGCTGCTAGTAGTACCTTTAAAAAACTACAGTAACCCGAATTCTCGCAATTTTTTGGCGTTTCGCCGATCAAAAATGAGCTAGCCCAAAAAACTATGGTATGTTGACAATACCCGCGTTATTTTTTGTACGATACTGATGAGTTGCCGGATCGGAAATCGTGCCCTCCCCAATCAGCCGCTTTGTGGCCATTTATCGTGAAAACAATTACGGGAGGGCCCAGGGGGAATATATCGTATGACAGAAGCTGGAAAATGAGAGGCGAGAGCACGGTATAGTGTGCCTGATGGGTATAATGGGATGGATTATGGTCTGATGGAATTGGGCAGGTAATGAGAAGAACGGATCGTTACGATTCCTTTAGAACACGAGATTACGGTGGACGGGTTGGACGGAAAATTATGAGAATCGGAATTTTGAAAAGGAAAGAGGAGGGGCGGAGAGAGAGAGAGAGAGAGAGAGAGAGAGAGAGAGAGAGAGAAAGAGAAGGAGAGGGGGAGAAGGAGAGTACGAGAGATCCGGAAAATACCGTAGTCTTAAAAAGCCAAGCAATTAATTACAAATTAACAAAATTCAGCTTTAATTCAAGATTCGGCAAATTCTAAAAAGCACTCAGCCTACAGTGCACCCCGCCCAAATAGCGGGTGTGCATTGTGAATCAAGCCAGGGGGCGTGTGCTAGTGTATTGGTGGTGTCTATATTGGGGCAGGGCCTCGAGGCTAATTGGCCGGCCGATTTCTCGCCGTCCAACAGGGGGGCGGGGCCTCGATTCTAGCGCGGTGAGGTTATAACACGATCCCACCCCAGTCATCACCATTTAGAGGGTGAGAGCGAGCGACGAAATAGCTGATAACCTTTGACAACAGCTTACAGCGCTTTGTATGGGTGGGGGGGAAAGCCGCTTAAGTCGAGGGTTTGGGCTCAAATTTGTGATACCGTCGTCTTACGAAATCCTACGAATCGAGATCTCTTAACGCTGTGTATCTTCAAAGCTCATAGGCATCACTGATTATTATACTACTATATATAAGCACGACCCAGTCTATCCCGGCCCAACCAAAAGACCCATTTCCCTCTCTATCAAAAGCACAATAACAGCCCATATATCCCCAAATTATGGCTTCACAATGGCAAATTTGCCTTTTCCTCTCCCCGCCACACAGCATACGGGGCTTCATCCCAAATAACGCCATTAGGCCGTGCGTCGCATATCCGCGTTTGGCGTGTCATCAGAGACATCTGGGGACAGGTACCGTATACTCGTGCTCAAGTCTGTTAATCGAATTTTGGGAGAGTTATCGAGGGGGCGGCCTGTGAAAGGGGATTGGCAAACAGACGGACGACCTGGTGGATGGCATTGTGTCACTTGGGGGGAGGTGAGACCGGAATTGGATTACGGTAATGGGTGACAAGGGGGTCGATTGATCGATTCGCTGGAAGGGAGCGTGCAAAAAAAGGCGAGAGCATGTTGCAGGGTGTAAAACAACCAAAAAGCCCGGAATTTAAAGGACCCATGTAATTTTTTGACTTCCGGGGGGCTTTAAAATAGATTTTGTCGGCATGACCTCGTTCTACCGAAGCTAATTCATGCCAGAAAAACTCACTATTTCTCACTCACCATTAAATATACCATTAGCATCAGGTGCACCCCGCGAACGACGCGACTTTACAATAAACACCCCACCCACAAGAGCACACCGGCTTCTTCAAAGCTTGTCCCTAATGCAAATGCAATTAATGGCCATTGGGGGCAAGGGTTGATTTGAATGCCAAGACCGCCACAAAAAAATAGCGCCTAAAAATGCCATTAGGCTCCCGTGAAAATCATAAATTGCTTAGGTTTCGCATTCCATTCAGTTTTCCAAAAATACAACCTAGGCCCGACACAATAGGGCCCTTAATTTCATAAGAAAATCAGGATCCCTAGGTTTTTGATTGAATTTTGAAATTAGCGCAGATTTTCCTCGGTGTTTTCTTCCGGCTGGGTGGTCGGGATGGTCTTTTTCATCGAAACCTTACTATAGAACATAAACGACGGCTAATGATCTGAAAATCAAGGGCAAACCAGCCCGAGAAACTATGGAAAATTGATGAAGTCGGATTAGTTAGCGTGCTGGGTGGAGATGGCCTTTTAAGACTTGTGAACTTATTCGAGCGGAGCCGGGAGTGACTGCTTTCAAATCTGGGGCTGAAAACAGGTCTGAGGTCGCCGTAAATTTGGCGTAATTCAGAAAGCAGTGGTTCAAGAATTTTTGAATTCCGAATTCTGAAGACTCCACGGCTAATGAGGTAAGTTGGAAATGGGTAAACAGGTTGATCCCGAGATGAATTCGGGCTAATTCGGACGTCGAGAGGGGATCGGGCGATATGGCACGAAATGATGCTTCTCTCTCTCTCTCTCATCAGATGGGGGTCCGTCTGGAGGAATTCGATTTACGGTTGCGTGTTTGGGCCGGAGGAGTACCAGAAATAAATTTGGGGAGTTTCGCAGCAGGTTCGGAAATTGCAGAAGAAATTATGGAATTGGTTATGAAGATGCTGACGACGAGGGAAATTTGGGATGGTGTTTATAATTTGAGAGAGAGAGCGAGAGAGAGAGAGAGACAGAGAGAGACAGAGTGTGAGAGAATGGAGAGTGATCGAGAAACAGAACTGTCGAATCCCTACCAAAATAGCAGTTTAAAAAGAAAGCATATAGTAGACCTTAAAAGTGAACATCCAACCCCAATTGCAACCCAAATTGACAACCCCTCCAGGGCACA